AAAAAAACCCCCCCCCCAACAAAAAAGTATAGGGAAAAAAAAAAAAAAAAAAAAAAGAGGAGGAGGGGAAGAGAAAAGCCTTAAATGGTCCCTGGAGCTGCGGCTCTGCCCCTGCGGGCTGTGCCCGGGCCCGGGGCAGCCGCTCCCGCTCCTCTCCGCGTACTTTCCGCGCTCGTAGCGGTTTTGCTTGGCCCTTCAGTGAGTTAGTGCCAGGCGCCTGGCTGGTGTGCTTTGGGAAAATAGCTTTTGGGAAGGGAAGGAGGGAGGGAACGAGGAGGGCACGGGCCGGTTCTGTACACGGGCTTTAGCTCCGGAGGTGTGGACCCGGAGTCCCTTCGCTTTTTGTCCTTTTAAATTATATATACGTATATGTATATATTACCCACCACTAGCAGGGAAGATCATTTTCTCCCCCCACCTTTCCACTTCCAATTTTCCTCTTCATTTAAAGGAGAATTACCTTTTTTTTTCCCGCCTCTTTTATTTATTTTTTTTTAAACGGCTTTTAAATATTGTTGCAGGGAGAAGGAGAACTCATTTCAGAACATTCTCATGTACTTAAAAACAATATTGCCTCCATATGGTTGGCCTTTCAAAAATGAATCCCCTTCTTTGAAACATGCAAGAGATATGTTTTTTTTAAAGCTACTAAAACTCTAAACTCCTTAAGAACAAAAAACCTAACAGATAATTCAATTGCTTTTATCTTTTTTATTATTTTTTTCCCCGCTTTGAAACTTTTACCATTCATGATAGAGCCTTTTAAAGCTGCGTCAAAATACTGCTTTTAAGACTGTGGTTACTCGCATCAGATGTAAACCCGGAGATTTTTTAAGCTCGTTTTCTCTGTTGCTGCAGTTTCACTCTAAATGTTATGGCTTAGTTCGCTTCAGCCCCAATTCCACCCCCCGTTCCCCAGCCCGAGTGCGCGTTACCTTGCACAGTGTCTCGACCGACTGATTTAGTTGCACTTTTATATTTTAATTATCTCGTCCATCCTTTGCTTTACTTGTAACTGTCCGGAGGGGGGGGGG